TGAGCAATCCACTCTTTAGGAGTCCTGGTGGGTACCATAGTTTAAGCACTAGAATGCACAAGCTACTGTGCAGGAGAAAGACGTGACAGTCTGTTTCCATGATGATTGACAGCCTTGGAAACCCTAAGAGCCTTTCTCTCTGCTCTGTGGGGTTACTAAGAGTCAGATATGAGTTGATTGAAGTGTGATATGCTCTTTAATGAAGATGCTCACTTTAAAAATCATATATCATATTGTTTATTATTACATGGTATTTTATGATATTATAATATATGTTAATATATTACCTGTTAATTTGTCTTCTCTTCAAGTAAGTTTTACCTTGTTAGGAACAGGATTTTATTCTTTTCACATGCTCTGGTACAATTTTATTTCGCATTTTTCCCCAACCCTGCTATTTTAGTTCAGCTTTTTAGTTTTATTTTGCCTGCTATTAAGCATAAAATTTTGCATTATTTTTGAGGTATCTTTTTCTAAAATTATTTACTACTAATGTCCTTCAAAACACATTTCAAAATTATATTTAAAGACACCTATGGATGCAGTAGCTCAAAAGAGTGAAAAAATCTTCTCAGCAAGGATCATTCCCACCTCCTCCGCACATGGAGAGAACAGGGATGGGCAACTTGGACATTGGCTGCCCAGAATGGGGGCTACAGAGGCAAGAAGTGACTGGCTTACAAGCTTTCAAGAGGGAACCTAGATACAGAGGACATGTAGCAAGGTAGAATCTCCACTAAGTAGTATCCATTCTGCTTAGTCAGGGATAATGACAGGAGATGCGGATAGGTCTCTTGCTATATAATAGCGAATAATTGTTATCAGGACAGATTGTAAGGGCTGGAAATGTAAAGGTACACGTTTTGAGGTAAAGGGAGGGTAGTGATTAATGTTGCAGTCTAGGAGCAGAGGTCGCTGGGACCATCAAAGGAGAAGAGCGGAGAATGGAACCCTACCCAGAGAAGCAGTGATGCCAGAGATGGGGGCAGAGATGATGACGTGGGGAGATGGAGCGTCTGGGCACTTTGGACCCGGAGAGGGAAAGGGGCCGTATGCAGACAACCTGGGGGTATACCCTTTGGCTGATGGATGATGCATGGGAGGGATTGTAACCATGGCAAGGAAACGATATACGACGACGGGATCAATGTGAATCTCATGTCCTCCTCCCATGTAAACTACCACATAATTCACAATAAAGCATTAAAACAAATTACATTTGAAGAATAAAAATAATTATAGTTGGATAAAATTATATGCCTGCATTGGTAACTATATTTTAAATACTGTCTGTGTAGAAATTCTAAGACTTAGTGCAACAGCACAGCATAATTACAAGTTATGTGTTGTTTTCATTACTGTTAAGTGACATCAAGTCAGTTCTGAGTCATAGAGACACTATGTACAACACAAGAAAATATTGCCCAGTGTTTCACCATCCTCACAATTGTTATGTTTGAGCCCTTTATTGCTACCACTGTGCTAATCCATCTCCTTGGGGGTCTTCCATTTTTTCTATAACTGAGCATGATGTCCTTTCTAGGGACTGATCCCACCTGAAAACATGTCCACAATTCAAGAGACAAAGTCTCTCCATCCACATTTCTAAGTTTTCTGACTGTGCTTCTTCCAAGACTGATTTGTTTGTGTTTTTTGGCAGCCCAGGGTCCTTTAAATATTCTTATCCAATACCATGATTCAAATGTATTGATTCTTCTAACTTCTGTCTTGTTCCTTTTCTAACTTTCATATGCATAAGAGGAAATTGAAAAGACTAATCTTTGGATCAGCGGCATTTAGTCCTCAAAATGACATCTTTGCTCTATAAGAGTTTAAAGAAGTCTGGTGCAGCAGATTTCCCAAATGCAACTTCTCACCTAATTTCTAGAGCACTGTTTCCATGATAGTTGATTGTGGAGCAAAACAAAATGAAGTCTTTGACAACTTTAATATTTTTCCATTTATCATCATGTTATTTATTAGTCCCATTGTGAGGATTTTCATTTTCTTTACATTAAGATGCAATCCATACTGAAGTCTATAGCCTTTGATCATCATCAATGAGGATATCAATTCTTTGTTTACAGGAAGCAAGGTTGTATCATCTACATAGCTCAGGTTGTTAATGAGTTTTCCTCCAATCCTGATGCCATGTTCATTATATAACCTAGCTTCTCAGATTATTTGCTCAGCATGTAGAATGAATAAGGACGGTGAAAGGATACAACCCGGTACCCACTTTTCCCAATTTTATACCATTCAGTATCCTCTTGTTCTATTCAAACAACTGCCTTTTAGTCTGTATACAGGTTCCCCTGGAGCACAGTTAAGTGTTCTGTAATACCCATTCTTCTCAGTGTTATCCATAGTTTGTTAT